TGTTTTCAAGTATCCACCTACCTCTCTGCTGTAAGCAGAATTACTGTCTGCTAAATTGCTTGAAACGCAAAATTCTGCCCCACCCCCAGCTTGGTTTGACACCTACTCACCCTTTCCCCCTCGAAATTGCAATCGTTTATGAAAGGTTACTCCATTGGGAGGAAAAGACAAACCCCCAAACACCCAGCGGTAATGAGATGAGTGGACTCCAAGAGCCTCGCTTTGCACTGTACAGTAGGAAAGGCTCTGGACAGAGAGCGTCCCTCAAAACTCATGTCTTTTTTTTTTTTTTTTTTGAAGTCCCAAGTTGGGCGTATCCTTACCCTTCTCCTTTAATTTATTTGATTAAATCATAACCAAAACAGACTCATCAGCTTCTCGTATTTCCTCAGCTGTAACCATACGCGAATCCTTTTATATGGAGACAAGTAATTGGCTTTAGTTAACTAAGGGCACAGGCTGCGCCCAAGTTTTCCTCCAGTCCAGGGCAGCATTTCACTCAAACCCGTGTTCCGACTCTGCTCCTCAATCGCCAGCCTAAGGTTTTTAAACTGTTTAAGCCATTTCCCACCGCTCTCTGATTTCTCTGGTGAGGGATGCTCACGGCAGGGGCTTGCGGGACGAGGGGGCTCTTCCCCCCGCGGGCTTTAGGAGTGGCGGGGCCGGCTCAGGCCAGCCCGCTTTGAACTCCGAACCCCTCCTGGACCGCGTCCCGCCAGCACCTGCATCACACCTCGGTACTGGTCTCGCGGCTTGTTTCCGCTCCCTATTAAGGACTAGAGTAATTTCACCTTCAGGAAAGCGAGGTTGTGTAAGCTCACTTCTAGCTTAAATTAAAAAGAAATAAAGGAAAAAAAAAATTGAAAAGCCTCAGAAAGTTTCTCGGTTAAAGCTCGGATTCCCTTTGGTTATTACTCAAAGGAAGAACCGCGTCAATTAACTCCAAATTGGAAATGCCTGCCCGAGAAGAATAATGATAATTCCCTGCCCTTCGCTAAGAGGTAGTTGCAGGATGGCACTTAGTGCGTGTGGTCCCTAATGACAGGGTTGCAGCTCTACCCGGTGTTTGGCTTTCCCTGCCCCCTTGGCTTCGCTCTGAGGTCGGGCAGCGACGCCGGGCACGACTGTCCTGCCCAAATCTTCCCCCTCCCTGCCCGGAGCCACATGGGGTTTACACCTCCCACAGCCAACACAGTGTGATCACAGTATGAAAACAGAATTAATTACCCCTATGCCCCGATAAGAGGGCAGGGACCTCGTAGCAACAGGTAACGAGGGCACCTGCAGCTCTTCAAGGTTATTTAACTGATAATAGAGGAAGCAGGAGGCTTGCTAAAGGGTCGCACTCGGTAAGAGGGGGTGTGAGGGAAGCGAACCATCAAAAAAGGGTGCTTAGTGATACTTTAGGAAAGTTAAACGTTGCTGCGAGGGGAACGGAATCCTTGCAGCGAAACGGGACGGCTGTTTCGCCTCGGTTTCTTGCTAGCTTCTGGTGGTCCACAGAAGACCCACAAGCCGCCCCGCGGAGCGGCCGCGGCTTTGGGACCGCGACTGTGGGGCCGGACACGTGTTGCACTCCCTGGGAAGGAGTCGCTTCTCGACCCTCTCTGGGGGATGCTGCGGGGGATGCTCGGGGCGCCCGGTGCGGGCCCTCGCTAGGGCAGGGCTGGACAGGCGAGAAGGCACTGCTATGTGCGGGGGGAGCGGGGCAGCCTCTCACCCGCTTATTTCATGGGTAAGGGCACGGCAGAAGCGGGCGCTTCGCGGTCGGGCACAAACTAGACCCCGAGGAAGCCCTCGCAGGGCTTTTGTGGGGGCTCACAGGCCGGGTGGGGTGTCCACAGCCACTCCGGGGCTTTCCCCGCTGAGCCGCCGCCGGGGCCGCTGCCGGCGGGGACTCAGTGGGACGGGCAGGGCTGACCCTGGGGCGGCGGCGGGAGGGGAGGGTCTCCGGGCTGACCCGAAAGGGGGGAGCTCCCCGCTTTCCTCCCCTCCCTTCCCCTGCCCGTCTCTTTGTTCTTTGCCCCTTTGTTCTCCCTCTCGAAGTTTCCAGGGGGGTTGCCGACGCGGAGCAAAGTTGCCGAAAGCTGAGGAATTACAATAAGTGGATGTCGGAGCAGGGAAAGAGGATGGAGGTCCTTCTCGGGGCTACGAGCCATTCCCCAAATCCTGTCGCTTTGTCTGGGTTGCCCAAGAGATCGGTGCGTGCTACCGGAGACGGGCCGCGCTTGCAGTGATGCTGAGGAGGAAGGGGGAGACGGGGATCCCCCGGCCACAGCAGAGTCTTGGGGGACCGGGCACCCCTTTCACGATTTAAAAGCGTTCAGGGGGGGGAGGAGGGGGGATATAAGTGTCTCTTCCGTCCTTTCTGGTGAGAACGGGAATAAAAATAACCAGTGAACGTGTCTTTGAGGCAGTAGGTCGCAGTGATGAAGGATTTCTGAATGTTAGATTTTAGGGCACATGTATTGGTTTAAGGTGTACAGCTCCAGAATGGATTCGGCTCCATCACTTTCTTCTCACTGATTTTTGTGCTTGCTTGACAGTGTTGTGGTAAAATGTTGTCAGGAGTTAAACAAGTTTGTGCTTAATTTCAAAGCAGATGGAATATCTTCATAGAGCAACACTGCAGCTTGAGAGACAGCTTTAGTGTGATTAATGGGAGATCACAGCATGGTTTGGTATTGACAATAATACCAAAACTTCCTTTGAAAAGGAAAACATCTTCACTTGGTACAATATGGTGTAGCCTTATCCTCTCTTTACTAATCATAATTACACGTTAGAGAATTCCAAGCTTATTTTACCTTGCATTCAGAAATCCCAAATAACTTCTCAAATGTTACCCCATGAATCTTCCTTCTCCCCCAGTATATGATAGTAGGAAAACACTGTAGTTGGATGAGTTAGGTATTAGGAAAGCTGATATGAAAGGAAGTTTTGCTATGGTGAATTGGAGTAGATCTCAGCACGTTATGGATTGAGCAAGGTGAAAGTCCTGAACTCCAGCAAACTTTCCCAACAGTGCTCTTACACCCTCACCTTTATAAGTGAGGATAGAGTGGATGAACATAGGACTTTGTTTTTTTTCTAAAAGCTACACGAATGCAATTCTCGTAATCATGAGAATATCCATATTTACTATTTTTATACATGTAGAGATCCTGTAAAATTATTTTTAAAAGAGCTATATTTGCAGTAATTTTGTGTTATATAGAAAGGCTAACATTTATTATGACAACTTAAGTTTCCAGAATTTGTATACATTTTTTTTTCTGATATCCAACAAAGTTAAGAAATGAGATCAGATGAGACTGGGGTTGACTAAACAAATGTTCCAGACTGGAATTTTTTAAAATGTGAATATACTAATAAGGATCAAACTGTCCTACTGGCAGTTGTTAAACCCCAGGATCTATTTTTCAAATGAAATGGGGTTTGATTTGAGATGATGTGGGGCCTATTCTTCTGGGTTTATTTTTTTCCTGATGTCGACAGGATAGAATCCCAGTGAAATGTCTGGGAACCCTGCTGTAAAATCCAGCTTTAGGTATTTCAAGATAGCAACTCAAACACAGAAGCTGTCCATGAAAAATTTGACCTTTATTTTTTAGGACTGTGGTTCACAGTTGACTGTAATGATTGGTCACTAGCAAATTAGAGAAAGATACAAACATTGTATTGGATACTGTGGTATAGTTCGATTTTCTGGCTGTGTCTCCACACACAAATCAACTAGCTTATTGCTTAGATCCAGAGGTGAGCAGAATTACTTACTATTCTTTCTATATCCCAATGCTCATAATGTGGTGTTGCAATATCCAGGTAAGAATGTTCAATGCCATTTACAACAAGGAATCTGCCTTAAGCAATACTGTAATCAGTAACAGCTAACATTACTGAGAGCAACAGCTTCTGCAAATGCCTTACCGCCAGAAGTTAACCAAGGTACGGCTGTAATTGTGTCCCAGACTAAATAAAGGCAGACATCCGAGAAGAATATAAGCTTAATTGGAAAAGTAGATCTTACAGAATGTTCTGTGGGATCAGCAATGGCTGCTTCTGTCTCAGTAATGATGATGACTAGAGGGACAAGTGACGTTAGTGGGTACTTGTTTAAATAGAGTGTTTCTGCAGCGTGAGAAAAATAATTTTCTGATTCAAAAGCATTCACTGAAGAAAGGGTGGTTGCATTTTTTTCACAGGTTAATTAGTCTTCTCTCTTTGCTCATGCTTTTTGCTGATGTATGTAGATTTCCTTTAAATAGACAAGAAATATATATATATATTTATTTTTATTTATTTTAATATATATATTTAAAAAACCAAACAAAACAGACAACCCTCTACTACTTCCCTTGGAAATTCTGACATCAAATATAAATTACTAAATAATGCAGAGCGCAAACCTAAACATACAAAGATTGTTTGGGATTTTGTCACTTCACTTTTTTGAGTAGGGGACAAAACTTCAGAATTGTAGTAGTTGGCTAAACTACCAACTTGTTTAAATGACATGTCAGGCAAGGCTTTTTACCTCTGCATTTTTATCACCTTTGTTTGTCAATAAATACTTGTAGCAAATGAGGGGAAAAAACACATTGCTTTCCGTTTTACTTCCCCTGCATTTGTTATTATACCTAGAGCAGTTCCAAATAGTGGCAGTGCAGAGGAATATGGCATAAAAGCATAATAAGGAGGACATTAAAAATGAACACTCTCTGCTTTATAATAGATACATCCAGGCATAGGTGTGAATGAATACTGATTCTTTTATACAGTTTGTAAATGGAAAAGCCTTAAGTTTACAAGAAGGGTAAACAGCATGTCACACTGCATTTAGCAGATGTTGGCTCACTACATTTAAGAAAATGGAGAGCAGTGGTCCCTTTGACATCCCTGCAGAAAGTTAGATCTTTCCAGAAAGAAAAGGAGAGCACATAACTATAGCAGTTACGTTGCGAACGGACAGTTAAAAATATTAACATTATATTTTTTTAATTAGTTTATCTCAGTCTTAACAAAATTAAAATATTTTTTCTTGTAAATGCCCATGTTTAATTCTATCAGTATATACTTAAAAAACTAAAAGAGCCTACAGGATAATCCAGTCTCAGGCACTCAAATGTTACAAGGGCCTTATTTGTTTACTAGTTGTGTAAGATTACCATTAACCATAGTAAATAGTGGTACATGTTGGCTAAGATTCAGTTGCTGAATAAACAGCATTTAGATTTATTTCCCCCCCCCTTACTGTTATGATATGTATGGAGAGAGCTGAAGTTCCTTTCATCATGCAGGCATAGGCATATGCTTAGGATGTTGACTGAATGTAGTAAATACATTTGCAACAAAAACTCGTGATAATGACGTGTTTCCATGTAAGTATTTAAACTGCTTCAAATTTTGTCATTCTTAATAAAGGAGTAGTAGCTATAAACTTAGAAATTACTTCCCCATATTTATAGTCTGTCACAAAAGACTTCTTATTCAAAGCACAAAAATAAGAATTCCTCTTTGTTTTCTCAGTGACTTATGACACTAAAGTACAGCACTGGCATAATAGGCAATCTCCCTCCCTCAAAATACCTGCAAGAATGGTGTCTAATTGCCTATCTGTGGGTTTTCTGAACATACATCAGTAATGCTTTGGCTCTAAGCACAGAGGGGGAAAAGATGATAAATCAGTATTAGTTCATTCTGAGGAACTGATTAAGACAAAAGCCCTGTTCTGTTTCCATTGCAGTCAACACTGAAAGTCTCGTGACTTTGAATAGCTTCCTCTTACTGTTTGGGTTGTGGAAATGCTCAGAAATCTAGCCAGCGTTTTGGTCTTGTTGTGCAGAAATACATAGAACTAACATAATCTTCTTTGCTGAAAATTATGGTTCCTTAATTTCTTCAAAGACTTTACTTAATACTTTTATATTTCTCATCATAGTAATAAGTTGTCCTTCTCCCTCTCCCCAAAAAGAGTTATCATGTCCACAAGTAGCATCTTTGGTATTTTGTGTTTAACTATTTCAGACCTTCATCCAAATACAGGATAACTATAATTTTTTTTTTTAAAGTTATTTCCACTCATATAAAACACAAATCCTTACATTGATGCCAGTCTCGGGAATCTGCCAGTGAACTAAGTTGCTAAGTTTAACATCCATTAATGATGGCTGCTGAAATGGGTGAGGAACTTAATATTTTCCTAAGTGGGAGAAAATGTGTAAAGTAGAACTGAACTAGGCAATGCCATGCATATGCTTTCTGAACACATCATATCACTGTTTAATACATTTTTTTACCTTATTATTCATATTTTTGTATTCACATGAAAAGAGTAAGATATCTAAAATATGCTAGAAATTTCTAATATAAAATATAGCTTTTCAAACAAGGAATTAAAAGAGTGCAGATGTCTGAACTTTAGGTAAGAAAATATTTTTTTCTTTTTCTAACTTGAATTTTCTCTGAATAATTTGCTTTCCTCCCTCCTTCCCTTCTTCCCTATTCACCTTGTCCAGGTGAAAAACATTGAAAGTAGTATGCATTTTAGTAGGATACAGTGTAGTGACTCTTCCATGTTCAAAGGATACTTGGAGTTCTTCATATTATGTATTTGTATCTGTAGAAAGTGTTAAGTATTTTTAGGCTGTATGGGTATGTAACCTGCTACTGACATCAGGTGCTTCTGGGGTAGGTGGTGTTCATGGGGAAAAAAAAATAAATGGAGCTTATACTTCTAAACTGGGTGATACCAACTTCTCTTATACACTGAGTAGAGAAATTTGTACTTTTGTTTGTTTGTTTCAAATCTATAATAACATCTATTCAATGGAATAAGTGTGATAAATAAATATAGATATCTATGACACATACAGATGTGTGTGCACATATATATGTATCTATATCTCACATTACAGCCAAGGAAAAATTTACTCAAGGGGACAAATCTGCTTTAAAGGAAGTGCCAAATAAAAGAGGAATTTTATGGGTCCCAAGTAACCTTGGTAGAATGAAGAAATGATTGAAACTGTGGCATCCCAGCTTCCTTAAGCATAACTGCATTTATGTATGGAAGGATCACCGGTTCAGGCAAAACCACATCTCCTACTGCGTAGCTGGCTGCAACACGTAAGGTTAGGAATATGTTCTTAACGTTAACAGCTATTAAAATGATTGATTGTTGATTGTGGCCATGCTTTTCCTTTTTCTGTAGTCTTAACTGAAAACCCATCTCCCAAGGGCTCGAAGCAGGGTCTGAGACTAGATGTTGTGTGCAAGCCTGATAAGCACATCACTGAGGTTCTTAGGATGGCTCTATAAGGACTCGGATAGGGCATTTGTGAGCTTGTGCCTCTACTTCTCAGAAAAAATTCAGTAGCAAAACATTATGGTGAAGCCTCTAAAGTAGTGACATTGCTTTACTGCAACAACCTTTACCCTAGTATCCAGTAGTACAGTGCAAAAATTTGCTCTAAGTAAAATTACCCTTGTTGAAATGAGTAGAAGAAATAATAGACACAACTGAACTCTGGGCAGTGTATATAAAAAACAGCATTAGGAAAAAATCATTTGGTATTAGTTTGTAAAAGTAATCTTCCCAACATTTAATTTTCCTGTAACTAAGATGCGAACTGGCTTTGCCATAAGAGAACTGCAAGAACATGTTAAGAACGATGTTTTACCTATGCCTTGTAATGTGCTGGTGGACACAGACAGTAACATTTTCAATGCCAGGCTCTAAATTTTCAGCCAAATGTTCAGCCATCTCATTGGAGAAGGTAAATGGGGACACATAACCATTTGCAAGGGAAGCAGTTTCCCCGTGTTACCTTCTCCATGCCTTCCTTTGCAAAATCCCATTCAGAGGATAAGCTTCAGCTTGGCAGCATGGCATGTAAGACCTGCCACACCTGGCTGGACACCAGGTCCCTCCTCCCCTGCCTGCTTTTTTCTGTGCAAGGAGGCAATGCCAGGTGCCTACGGCTGTCCTCTTTTCTTCTCTTTTCTCTTTTTGGTTGGAGCTGCCATCTGACCAGAGGGGTAACATGGGGAAGGCTGATCCCTTTCGTGACCTCTTTGGGGCTATGATTGCCTAGCCCAAAATTGAAAAGACAGTGCTCTGCAGTGGGTCTCCTGCTTTTGGTGAAAATGGTTGACACACTGCCATCCAACTACAGAGCAGATTAAATGACTGGCACTATTTTCAAGCATCTTATATTTTCTATTTCCTCATCTACAAGTACATATATACAGATTTTGGGAATATCATTTATATTAGTTTCAAAATCTTCTAAGAAGACAAAAACAAAATTATGCCTTCTTTACTAAAGTTATTAAAAAAACCCCAAGCCCAAACAAGCCCAACCCCAAACGCTATTGGATTACATATTTTTATAGAGCTTTTGATAAATTGGTACATATTATCTAAGATATGACAAGGTTTCTAAAGCTTTATGATCTTGATGTTTGTAAGCTTTTAGCAAACCATGATTCAGTAATGCAAAGGAAATGTCATAGCTAAAAAGGAAATAAACAACTTGCCTCCTTGGCAGAATTATCACTACCCTGCATGTAGAAAAAGCCTCCATAGCTGGCTGCCTTTGCTGCAATTACTGGTGTACTTTTTTTCCCCAGGATATCCCATTGTTTGCCACACTCCTTCCGCAATCTTTTTTGTAGGGCTTTTGTACGCAGGAATTTTTTCTGATTAAATGTTTTGTGCAGCACTTAACAAATTTACCTTCTTACCGTGGACAATGCTACTACGCTGTAAATACCTAATGAGAATGCATCTCTGGTAGTGTAAATCTGGGGCAGACACCCTATTTTTTTGTTGCATTTGCTCTGCATTGACACTCGATTGGGTCTGACAGCAGCAGGTCTCTCACCCTGCCTTTTGTGGCATGAGGAAAGGACCTACTACTTTGGGAGTTGTTTCTGCCAAAAGCCGAGGACCTGTAATCCTGCTAACATCAGAAGAGGAGAGCATGCAGCTTCTGGCAGCAGCAAGAACTACTAATTTCTGCACTGCCCAGAAATTAACTTCAAGCGTCTCGAAATTGTAATTAAAATTCAATTGTTTCTCATCACATTTAGACATCCGCCCATGGAAAAACACCTATTGTGTAACTTTTACCCCTCTCCCTGGGGGTTGTACTGGGAGGATGGGAAGGTTGTAGCCCTAATGATGACTGAAAAGGCAAAGGCAAGAAAATGAGCTTACCTTGCTGCCCTAAAGTTAAGCAGTAATCCACATGGCACCAGTGCTGAAATATGTAATAATGTGGTGGTAGGACTTCATTGCTGAAGATGTCACATTGGCTCTGCTTCTGTGTTGGCTATATAAATATCTATAACTTGTTACTTTATTGCTTTTTCTGTATAGTATGACCAAAATATCACAGAAAAGTGCAATTTCTCAATTTTGTAATTAGAAATTGAAGACTGGATACTCAGCTAGTATAAACTGGTATGACTCCACTGATTTCATGAGAGTTGGGCTGCATATCTGTTTTCTAGTCTTGTGGCTCTGACCAGGTAATTACTGAATAAGACTTCACCATACCATAACATTCATATATAGTAATGGAATTCAGAGTTGTGACCCTGTTATGCAGTTAAATATAAGTAAACCTCTTGGTCTGTGGAATAAGATCTTTCACTTTTCTCATAATTTTCCATAATGAACAACTGGATTAAAACTGGTGTTCTCTACTTCCCATCAGCTTCTTGGTCATCTGCTAGATTCCTGCTGGTATAAGAGGATGGATGGGTTCAGTATCACATTTCTCTTAGGGGTCTAGAAATGAGCATCTTTAACGTACATCAAATGAACTAAATTACAGGGGAGTGTTTCCAGTAGGCATTCCAGGGTTGTGAACACAGCCTGGGAACCCATGGTCCAACAGGCTTTGTCACCCTGGCTGATGCTTAGAAAGGCCTCCCTACATTCTTCTGTACACCATTTTCTACCTATATCTATCACATCTATGCAAGAACAGCTTTTTGTGTGTGCCTGGGGATGTACTGACGCATTCTGAGAAGTCAGAACACTCACTAAACTTCTCAATCTGGGTTGTTATTGATGTGCTCCAAGCAGGGTCTAGATGGAGTTGAGGCAGTTGAGGTCCTTCAATAAGAGACTGTTTAAAATCCAATATTGACCTATTTATCTTTAAACTTAACATGCCAGGTGAAGTTCTGCAATCTAAACCTTTCTTCTCAACTGCATTTGTAACAGTACATCTGTCTTCATAGGAAATACAGCAGTTGGAGAATTCACATTCAGGGATGAAGGGTTTCATGTTTGCTCTTCTTCTACTATATAAACTATTCTAGGCTTAGGCTTCTTCTGCTCTTCCTTTTGAAGCTCCACCATCAGCATTTCAGGATATTCAGGCAAGAAAAGAAGCAGCATAGAGCATGACTGTAGCCTCCTGTGAGAACACAGAATGATGTGGGGTAATCCTGGATCTCTGGCTTCCAGGACTCCTTTAGCACTTCTATATTAAGAGTAAAATATATTAAAAGGCTTTTGAGAATTCCTGAGATATGACCTTAATCAGAGATAGAGCCTATCTGCCATTGAACATAAGACCTTCTTGACAACCACTCCTTTTCTGCAACCTTTGGCACTGAGGTCTGTTTTGGAAAGGCAAGAGGCATTTTGCAAATCTTGTAGTGAGTACCTGTATACCCAGGGATCAGGCCCATCCTGTACTGGTTTGCACCTGTACTTTCCCCAGTGTGTCATACGTACCCTGCACATACAGCACAGCTGCTGAAGTGCAGACTGTTCATCGTTGGGTATTTTAATATTTGTGCAATGTGTCAAAGGGGAAAGAGCTTAAATTCTGTTTGCATTTTAAATAACTGTCTTGGCAGTTACACAATCCATAGTGTGTGTGTGTCTTCATGGAATGCACTGTTTGTGACTGATGTTGAAAGAAGAGGTACAGATATTAAATATGGCCAACCAGGTTCTACAGTTGGTCTGGACTGGGTCAGCCTTGCACTGTGGATGGCTGTCGAGGGCATCTGGTAAAGTGCCACTAAGCACGCTACTGTTTGTCTGACACATATGGGCAATATTGAAACTTGTTGATGGCAGTTTGGCAACTTTTATCTGTATCAAGCAAGCCAAATTCTGATCCCTTAGAGTTAATTCAAATTCCTCTGACACTAGGCTCAACTCTTGTAGGAAGCCAGATTGTAGAAACTAAGAGGCGAGCTTATTCTGAGCAGACTTGGATCTCATACTAGTTAAGGGCCCCGCCCTAAATCCTGATCTCTGATAAATTAACTTTTTAATGTTTCATTACTGCTAGGGTACAAGCCAAGTGTCTACACAGATATTTGTGTTCCAACAGCCAAATGCAAGCTCATTTTTTTCTTCTGAATTTTAAGTATGTTATGTTTTACAGACATGAGTAACTCATGTGGGATCTTTCCCACAGAGTAAAACCAATGTAAATTCACATGACTCAGGGATTTGTTTCAATGCTTATGTATAAACTCTCATTAGAAATGATTATGCTTGAAGATCAAAAGAAAAGTACACTCACTTGTATTAATGTTTAATGCATAATTCACATTGTTAGAACAAAAAAACAAAACAGTCGGTGGTTGTTACGACAAATATCAAACATTGGCACCACTAACCAACTCCCATAGAGGATCCTTCATTTCATTGCCGTGGCTGTGCACTGAGATTTCCTCTTGTGTGTGTTGTGCCATCATCTCGGAGACTTAGACACCTTCCTCACTAGATGAGTTATTCCCCTGTAATGACAGAAGTGGGGGAGAGCCAGGACACCCCACCAGTGCAGGTGGCTCCAACACTCAGAGATCTCAGTTGAAGCAGAGCATAAAATAATCTAATCTAATTTTTTATGCAAGAGGGATTTCAGATCAGGCACGCTCATATATGGTCTAAAATTCTAATTGCCTTCAATCTTAGTTTAGTCTGAGCCTTAATATCAAGACCGTGGTCAAAGTTACCCAGCGCCGCAAAATTCAAGAACTTGATTTTTTGTTTTCTGTTTATCCACGTTCTCCCGTCTCTAGTCAATGCTTATTTTCTTGCAAGAACACTTCTTACTTAAATAAGCAGGTTTGGCATGATGGAGTTGCATATGTAACCCATTCTCTGTATCTTCAACCAAGGCAAGCACAGGAGAGCAAAGCCATGCTCGTAATCATAAACTGAGCTTAGGAACCAGAATCCTGTGTTGACATCACTGCCTGTTATACAGAGTTCTGGGTTTACTTATTTGGTGTAAGGGAAGACCTCTGGGTACCCTCCACCTTCCCACATTATAGTCTTTCACAAGAAGTAGGAGTTGGGCTTTGTTATCTTCACAGATTTTAATGGCTTCTTCCATGTCTATGTTTAAAGGTCAGCAATTTATAGGATGTGGCTTTTATATTTATGCTTCTTTTAAAAAACTTGGCCATTTTACCAGCTGAGCTTCCATAATTTCCTTCTCATATAGTTTTTGGTTTTCCTCCCCCCCCCCCCAAAAAAAAAAAGGGGAAAATGCTTAAGAAACAGCTCAGCAAAAAAAATTTAAGTTTAAGAGTCTTAATTCATGGCAGAGAATCATCTCTCTTCCATGGGGCTCCGTGGCACAGGATGACACTGACTGACATTCGACAAAATTTGTGCTTGGCACAAGGTCACAAAAAAGGTTGCATGTACTCATTATCATTTCAGTAACTTTCCTGCATGCCAGCAGTGATACAACACCTCTGATTCAGAGCAGAGTAGCTGCCTGGGTTTCAGGTAGGTTCTTCCTACTTCAGATCTCTGTAAGCAAACTATAAATAAACTCTCCATTCTTAAGGTGCTTCCTGAAGGCTCGGTTGTTCTGCAAACCCTTCTGTGTGAGTCTGTAAGGTTCCTCATTCGGGAATTAATATTGTTGAGTTAGAATGGGTGCTACTGCTATGCATGGAATGCAGTCAAATGGATCTTGCGTGTTTAAGAGAACAGAGGAGAGCTTTGGGGTTTGTTTTCCTTTTGTTTATAACAACCCACTCAAAATATTTACAATGGAAAAGCTGATATTTTCTCCAGTAAAAAACCTACTGTCCACTTTAAGGCAGTTGAAAAGGTATTTAGAGTATATACTGGTTAAATTGCTTATTTTTAGTGGAGAGCACATGGCATTGCTATCTTGAAACTGATCATAAATACATACCTGTTGTGGGATTTTTGTTGTTGAAGAAGAAAAACCCTGTAATGAAATAAATATGCTTCACGAGGAAAGAAGTAGGTCAAATGTTCAGCTAAATTAACCTCATCTTCTACAGAAAGACTAAATTCTGTTGTTTTCACCTGTGGGACTTTGGACTTGTCTACACACCAAATTATTCCAAGACACTTATTAGGTACACTGCAGTAATTACCTCCGACTAAATCCAAGTGTAGACATATCTTATGCCAGCATAAGAATTCACTTTCTTGAATTACCTTAATCCACTTTGAAGGTGGCTTAAGTGAAACCGGGAAACAACTTGGTCATTCCAGAATGAATAAACTATCTGAACATAGTTTTGCTTTACATTCACATCCAACCTTATTCCAACATAATTTTCCTGGGCTGAGAGACTCTTAGGATAGATCTACATAGCAAATGAACGTGTGATTACAGACACACCAACCTTCCCTTTACTCTCACTGGCATGAGTAACAACAGCAATGAAAGATGGTAGCAGAGACTTCAGTACAGCCTATTAACTAGAGCACATATATGCATATGGTTGTGAACAGCCTCGGCTGAAATCCACCTCATCACACCCCCACTTCAGATACAACTCACGTCCCTTAGACTAATACTGGGGCTGGGAATGCCTCCCTGCATCTCTGGTGTGTATGCACGCCAAAACCTGCATATGCGATAGGACCGCACAGTTGAGCTAAATGGAAAACAGGTGAATTTAACTTCAGAGGTTAATCACATTCGAGAAGAAGCATGGCTCGCACATTTTTAATATACACACCTTTGACAACCAAATAAAGTGTCAGCTGTGTGACTGCGGAAGCCAAATTAAATGTGCTGTACACAAGCGCAACTCGGATGATTTCACCAGAGCTGAATTTGGCTCCACAGTTGAGAACTTGCTTATTTGACTGATACTTGTTTTGCTGCCTATCTACTCATTTATTTTAATGAAATTAATGCATTTTAATGTTCCTTTAAGAGCATTCCAAAAATAGCAATTTGATTAACTAATTTGCTTTTAAAAGTGTAACAATCACAACGAAAAATCTCTCTGTTAGCTGAGGTATGGCATAATTGTAAGAAGCACGTTGGGTAGCTATGCCATACCCTTCATCCTTTCAAACACGTTCCCCACATCAATCAGAAGAGCCTCACTTAAAAATGAATGGCGAAATACAGACAACAATCAAGCTGTACCCACTGCTTTTCAAGTCTATCAAAAATATGTATCAGTAATGTACTCTGTACTCTGCTGAGACAGTAAAGAGAGGTAAGAATTTAGCCTAAAAGCAGTTTAAACCAATTCCAGAACAGAAACATGAAACAAATTTGTCTTTCTAGCCAAGCCAGAAAGCATCTTGAGTAGCTTGGGTTAAAAAAAAAAAAAAAAAAAAGTGCTTTCACTTTCAGGCTCCTTAAAATCGTGTTTGAATGGTACAACATTCCAAGAAGGATTTCTTTTTTCCCCAACTCTTTTTCCATCTGCAACAGGGATCTCACCATTTAAAATATGGTGTGGCTGAGAGCATAGAGCCCAACAACAAAAAAGGTGTACACTAGCTTCTCCCTGACTTTATCTCCTTATAAAAACTGGAACTGCAAAACCTGAGTAGTAACAATATTAAGCGAAGGCAATTTTCCCTTTTATTGTATTTAAATGAGGAAAATGAAAGTATTAACGCTAATATTAAGGCTGAACAGAGGCAGTTGCAAAAAATAATTTCGTTTCAGCCCTTCTACATGCACCCGTTCACGAACTCCGCTGTGCTAGCTACCAGGGTATTGGCAATGTTGTAACTTATTATAGTAGGTGGTGTGAAAAGCACCACAGAAGAGGGAAACTTGTCTCAGGGCTCTGCTGGAACACTCTGCGGTCACAGAGTAGGTGGTGTGGTGTTGCAGCAGTTTGGGATGTTACAGTGTGCGGGTAATGACTAGTCTTTGGCTGAGGAGGCACTTAGACCCAAGCTACCGTGGGTACTTTAATGCGAGGCCTAGTTCTGGAAGTACTTTTGCACGCGGGTTAAATCCCTCATGTAAAAAGGTCCTCGGACTTTAGGGGCACTGCTCATGGAGACTAACAGGATTTGGCTTTGAGAAGTGCACGAACCCAGGGCAGGGGATGCGTGTGGGTGCCAGCCCCTGCCACGGCTGGGGACACCGCTGACATCCAGCCCGGTGGTCACACCGGCGCCGGGGCTGCCGCAGGCTCCAGCTCACTCTGGTTTAACGCAAACCCTCCTGCCTTCGGGGACAGCTGCTGGGCAGCCCCAGCAGCAGAGGTGGGAGCGATGGCTCAGCAGCCCCTCAGTGAACCCTGCCAGGGTCTGCGGCAGCCCTTCGCTCTCATCGGCAGCGACGCCATTGCGCCAGCCGCCTGCCGACCTGCCCGGGCTGCCCCGGCCTCGCCGCCTCGCCGGGGCACCCCGGCCCTCACCCAGGGCCGCGGGGCTCTGTGCGCCGGGGTCTCCCCCGCCTTCCCTCGCAAAGCCTTGCAGGGGAGTGGGGGAGGTGTGTGTGGGGGGCGCGGCGCCGGGCCTGCACGGCAGCAGTGGTGCGGCATCCTCGCTCCTCGCCCGGCCTCCTCTGGCATTCCGGGTGCCTTTTTTTTTTTTTTTTTTAATGTTCTTGGTTTTTTTGTCTGTGTGTGCGGTGCCCGTTCCCCCCGCCCCCGCCGGTCGCTCGGCACATGGCCTGCTGGCGGCCGGCGGCGCGTGTGTCCCCGCGTCCCCTGGGCGAGGTGTCCCGTCCGCCGCCCGCATCCCGGCCGTGGCGGGGGCTGGCACCCCCTCCCTCCCTCTCTCCCTCCCCTTTTCAGCAGTCGCCTTTCTTTGGTTTTTTTTTTTTTTTTTTTTTTTTTTTTTTTTTTTTTTTTTTTTTTTTTCCTGTTGTTTCTTGTTTTGTTTTTTTTTTCCCGTGGTTTTTGTATGTGTTTTTTCCAGGTGGGACTTGGCGGTGACCGGCGAGGCTCGCCCGGCACTGAATGTCACCCTGAAGGTAAAATGAAAGACACGGAGATGAACGCATGCCTGCGCCCCGCGCCGCCGCTCCCCCGCGCCCGCCGGCGAGCGGCCGCCACCATCGCGGGGCGGCAGCCCCCGCCGCGCCCCGGATTTCCTGTCCCGGCTTTTTCGTTACTGCGCCTAAAAAAAAAAAAAAAAAAAAAAAAAATCAACCCCCCAAAAAATAATGATTAAAAAAAAAAATCCGCATGCGAAAGAAACGTGCACGTACCCGGTTACGAGCCCAGGAAAAACCCGGCCGCTTCCCCCTGCTCCTGCCAAGTTATCATTGGGAACACAGGCAGGCGCCGTGACGTCCCGGGTCAGGCCGAGTGCGGACCGGCGCTACCAAGGCGGCAGGGAGGCGCGGGGACGCCGCCGGGGCCGGGGCCGCGGGGATCGGGGCCGCCGTCGCCCGCCCGCCGCCTCCCCGCTGCCCGCCGGGCCGCGCCCGCCGCCGCCGCCGCCCCCCGCGCCCCCCGCGCCGCCGCCGCGGCGCCGCTCGGCCTCCCGCCCGCCGCCGGCTCCCCCCTCGCCGGCGGAGGTCGCGGGAGCCCAGTTAAAGGAGGCGTGTGTAAAGATTTTGCAATGTCCCTGCATGGTGTTGTAGACTTTCCTAGCAAAGAAACCGGCTTCGGCTTCTTTAAAATCCCCGACGACTCACCTGATTAACCTGCCTGCGGTTCTGACCTGACCAGGTAAAGCAAGCCCCCCATCCCCGCACCTCCCCGCTCCCCCGCCAGCTGACATTGCATGGGGGGCATGTTTGTGCTTGGAGACGAGCCGCTGCCAGAAGCGCTTCCCCCCTCCCCCCCCCGCCCCCTTCCACCTTCAGCCCTTGCCAATTGCACTTGCTCAGAGTCATTGCCCCCCCCCCAAAAAAAAAAAAAATCCAGCTTGGGAAAAAGCTGCACAACGGCACCGGCCACCCAGGGTTTAGTGGCTCTCGCCTCTCGGACAATTATTTAGAATTATTGGCCCGGGTGTGGGGGGGAGGGTGGGTGTAGGGGGAAGAAGGGAAGCAGGATGATCTTTTTTGCTGCTGACAGATCCTACCCCGGCAGGTTTTGTGTGCGTGTGTCCCTCCTGCCCAGGGTCAGGAGTGCCGGGAAAAGTGACGAGGCTTTAACCAGCAAAGAGTTTGGGGCCGGGGTCCCAGGGTGGCTCCGGCGGCTGCGAGCGGAGAAGGGGGACCGGACTCTCCAAGCCTGTGCCGGGGCGCGTGTGACTGTCGCGGCTGCTGCCCCGTGCCGCCCTGACCCCTCCGCGCTGTCCCCCCCGGGAGCCCCGAAGTGTCCCGGCTGCGGCG